TTTTCAATTATATGTTACTTGTATTACTTGTATGTCACTTATACCTGATAATTTCTGTAAGGTCATTGTCGTATCACAAGGTGATTATGATATAATACAAGCAGAACTGCAAAAATACTTTTTTGTCGTTATTTCCCCTTAATATTAGGGTTATGTTATGCGTACAGAAAATGTGTTCAGTTTCAGGGAAGAATTTTTGATTTTATTTTGCTGATATTAATTGTTTTATATTCTAAACTGGTAAGTTAGAATTGTTGTCTTAAAAAAAACAGCGTCAGGCAATCTGCTGCAGTAGGTCACGGTAAGAATACCAAAAATGAGGACATAACATTTCCAGTCGTCCGATTTTGCGACCGTTTCCCATTGTTTTCTGGTGAAACATTTACACAGGCTGCGATCACACGATATTTAGCGTGAATTTACTGAATCGCAAAATACCTTGTTCGTCACCGCTGCTTATCATTAAACTATACTGCGAATTACGATACCGCTAGTACATATCACCGATGATAATGGATAGGCATTAACTATTTAAGGTGTTACCATTGCATCTGCTAAATCAACAGTTTTCCTTATGCTATAATCTCAACGAAAACAGTGGCAAAAGCGAAGTCTTATTCTTGAAGAAAGTTCAATGAGATGCTGGGGTCGAATTGTCAGACGGCAAACACGGTGTTTTGGCAGACCATTTGCCTCATCTATAACGGAAAGTAGAGAAGTCTGAGCATACTGAAGTATAAGTTTGGACGCCTTCTTACCGAAAAATAGGACACAGTTCAGCCATAATAAAACTACATGGACGAACTCCTTAATCACTAACCCAGAGGAAGACTCGCCTGAAGTGCTGCAGATAATGGGTATAATTCTTTAGTAGACGAATTCACAGCAGCTGTAAAAATTGAAAAGTGTAAGGGCTGGCGATATCTGTGAATTTCCGTGGTGAGGCGATTAAAGCTTTAGACAGACAAAGCATGTTGTAGCTAATACGTGTCTAAAACTGTAAGACACAAATGGACTGGAGAGCGAGAGCAGTAGTAATCCTGTTTTAGGAGGGAATGCTTCCGTTATCGGCTCATTACAATATTAAGCGTCGAAAGAATCATCTACGCAAATGTGTCAGGAAGAAGATGTCGAGGAATAACTTTCTATAGACGAACATTATGGTTTCAGTTAAGGACGAAGCACCTATTATCCGATCGTCATCTAATGTCAGATTGTTGAGAAAGCGTGCGAGTTGGCTAATCCGGTATCCATGTACTTTATGAACCTGGATAAAACCTATGACCGAATCCCATGCAACCACCTGTGGACACTTGCAAAAGTATGTTCGATGTTCAGTTTCTACGGGAAATCCAATCATTATATGCTTACAGTGTGCTGATGCTGTATCAGAGTAAATGGCATTTGAAGTCGAAGTCTTTCAGCTGAGAAGTCACATGTAGGATGGTTTGGGCATATGTTACGAACGCTTTTAGTATGGAAAACGAAGCAGCTACTACTTGCCTAACCGATCTGCCGAAGTCCCGCGGTCCGTTAAGAATAATCTAAGGCCGTTGTGTCGAAAGACTCATCTTCAAGCTGGTTTAAATTCTGCCGAAGCTTAACCGCTGACGCAGGATCAGAAATGTTAACACTCTTTGACGTCTCTGCCTCGGCTTACCGCTTGGATAAACGATCGTAGAATGATCGACCGTCTGACTTGCATTGTCTTTAGTAAAATCGTGTTTTGTGCTGTTTTCTATAAACATACTAGTATTACTTTATAGCTGGCTATCAAGGTAGGAATATATAAACGTTTAATGTTAATAACAACGTATGTTCGCTGGCAGGGTTCGTCAGATAATGCATAACTTCTTCATCACCGGATTCCTCTGCTTGCTGCACCGCTTTTTTGCTGCTGGTTGCATAGACGGGTCATTTTAGCAGAGCACGGCTCCATGGTAATTAATTTTTCGAAATATCGTTAGCCATGTCATGCTTTGCAACTAGAAGCAAGTCGCAGTGCAGTAACTCATGAAATTTGATATTGAATGAGTGAATATGAGGCGTTTGTTTAAGCATTCAAGAGCTGTTCATTTCGGTTACTGTTAAGACAAATAGGTGTCCATGAAATAGTCGAAGTAAGTAAGATTTTGAGTATTGACTGATTAGACTTTCTGCGATAGATAACGTGAAATACTTGACGAACTCCTTGAAAAATCACGTGAATGTTTAAATGGACACAGTAATATTTGGTTTGCAGTTTTATCATATTGCTTTTTTTAACTTTTACTACGATATACTGTAGTATACTGTAGTACAGTTTATCTTCTAATGAGGTAAGTACTCTGTGCTCAAATGGATATGTTCACGTTTGCACAGTGTTGCCGTTTAGAGCTCCAGCTCATTGCTTATGTCGGCAGCAGGTCAGCATAGTTCGATTTGCAAAATGTTTTTGGCAGCTCTTGTTGTTTTTCTTCATCTTCGGTGTTCTGTTTCATCATAGTATCTGAAAAATTTCTCTACTCCTAAAATTCCTGACTGGTAATTTCTCCAATGTTGGACATAGTCATATCACACTATCCTAATGTTCCCTGATACATCATTCAGCGAGGTGGAAAGTTTTAAATGTTTTGGGATATCTGAGCACATCCTTTTGATTGTGAAAAGGACGTATGTTGGAACCATTTCTGCTATTTAGGTGGAAGATGGACCGAGTGTTTCTCTACTTACTCTGGAGCTCACAAGTGAAATGTTCTTTTACCTTTGTTATTCAACACTGTTCTCGACTTTATACTCCTAAACAGTGCTGGCCCTGCCAAAGACTTGCGTTGTCACATTCAAGAGGGAAACCGCAGTTAAAGATACTTTACCTGTCTTGCTTATCTGAATGGGCAGATTATATTGTTTCGATGAGTAGGACGAAAAGCTAGTTTCGTCACCTATGGCTTTCCTGTAGAACACTTTTCCTTAGCATCTAAATTCTGAAGTTATTCAAAACACTTGTGATGCAGCGTATTTGTGAATGGAATAAGGAAATAAAACGATTGAGATTTGTCAGTTTATATGCCTCAGTTCCATCGTCTCCAGCAGCGGTTGCATTCAATCAGAATTTAATAGAAAGTTCTTTGATTCCCGTGCTGTTGGTTATTACCTGTCTAGCCTCTCAGGTGGCAGTGAATCATCTTTTTGCACGAAAAGCTGCCTCTGCGTTTCTTCAACCAGCTGATTGTTGTTATATGAATGAAGAGGGTTTTTTTATCAAAGAAAGAATTAAGGTTGGGCAGTGTGCAATAGCGTCTGAATTTAATGTTTAACGATATTTAAATTGTAGAGCCATGTTGAAAATGATTGTATCCTTCACCTTAAGAATGGCGCATGTGTTTCAGCAAATTCTCCTTTGTCGATATAGAGCTCAGTAACGGATTCGTGCCTGTTAGAGCAACTTTTCATCATAGACAATTCGCTGAGTCCACAAGTTTCTCATATGAGATCAGAAACATGACAGATTTTGACCATTAGGCATATACGGATAAAGATCATCGAGACAGATCTACGTTTAAAGACTTGCCCATAGTACTTGTTTACAGATGCATATAAAAATGTTCTAAAAAGCTGAGAATAGGGCAATTATCACAGTGCACTATGCTGACGGAAACTGACCGATCTAGTGATCTAAATAAACAGTGATACATGCTATCTTCTGCTTAATGGGGCCGATATTGAGTTTCGATTTTCATTCACATTATTCATTGTATTGGTAGAAATTTTTTGCCACTGCTCGCGTTCCAACTAAGCATTCATAGTGTGGCGCTGTCTTTCGTTGCTCTGAGGGTAGCGAATGCCTTTTGGTGTAAACATCGGCAATAAATGTTAGATTAAGACTAGTGTTGAGTGAGAGGGTGTATTCACGAGATCGATTATATCTATGTTACTGTTTTACCTTAGTGCATGAATATGCGATGGTTACGGTGTTGTTTCTATTTGCGAGTATAGTCAT